AAATTCCTCGTGCCACCTCTTCGCGTATCATGTGCTCCTGATACCAGGAGTAAAAATCCGACATTTCCCATCACAATTTTGAGCGGGGGGATTTGCAACATTGTTGAAGTTTCGAGAGAAGCGATTTGCAACATTGTTGAAATTGCGGAATTGTTGAATTATGTGGTGGGCGATTTGCAACTATGTAGCAAATTTTCGAAATTGCACCGCTGGAAATTCCAACAAAGTTGCAACCCAGAAGTTCGGCAAAATGTGACAAAATCCGAAAAATCGACCCGACTTTTGCAACATTGTTGAAGTGCTGAGCCGAGCGATTTGCAACATTGTTGAATTGCTGAGCCGAGCGATTTGCAACATTGTTGAATTTCTGAGCCGAGCGATTTGCAACATTGTTGAAGTTTCGAGAGAAGCGATTTGCAACATTGTTGAATTGCTGAGCCGAGCGATTTGCAATATTGTTAAAGTTTGGAGCGGAGCAGTTGGAACATTGTTAAACCAGGAAATATCACAGATACGAGGCGAAATTATAGGGAAATGTACCAGGAAGTAAAGGGAAATGAACTCCTGATACCTGTTGGTATCAGGAGAAAGAACCTGTGATATCTGAAGAGGTCAACTTACCTTGTGGATCAGGATCACATGGAAAGCGGAAATATTGTACCAGGGATGGAAGGGAAATTAAAGGGAAATGTACCATGAAATGGAGAAAAATTAACGGGAAATGTTGCCGGGATGTGAAGGAAAATTAAATGGAAATGTGGCAGGAAACGAAGGGAAATTGTAGGGAAATGTAGCATGAAATTGATGGAAATTGAAGGGAAATGTGCCAGGAAGTAATGGGAAATTAATAGGGACACGTCACAGAAATGAGAGGAAGTTAACAGGAAGTTTTTAGGAAATGAAGGAGAATTTCCACGAAGCTGTATATGATGTCGCTGTTTTAGAAAATTTAATTAGTACTACATAGAAGAAAGAACACGAAAGGGGAGTAGAGGAGAATGATATACAGTAGATGTACTTCACAATATTGGCGTTTTATTGAATATCTTTTGTATATTCTTCTTTGTATACGTATATGCGTGTGCGCGCGGCACACGTATCACAATTCTCAGGCGTACGTACGCGCACACGCATCCAAAGTGATCCGCGGTGTTTGCTTAAACGGAACAGATTGACTATGACGTCGTTATAACGTACGCACGGAACATGCAGCAGAGTACTCGCACCTCTTGTACGACATACGCAAAATACTCCATTGGTTTACCGATATATCCGTTCTCTTCCCACCGCGAAACGTTCATTTCTTGGCAAAAAAATAAATCCCTTTCTTTCTCCTACATCCCTATCGGGTGTTCTTTTTTTCATTTAGTAACTCTGTGCCGCCGTTAGCAGTCGTAACACTTCTTTACTCGCAGCTTTACAACATTACAATTTCGTATGTATATATTTATAATATGTATATGTATATTTTTTATGTATATATGTATAGTGGCCTCCTTCGCGCCTACGGGTCTCCGCTGTGTATGCACGTTGCGACGCTAAATTATGTATAATATGTATACGCAATGTACACGTGTGTGGTATATACACACATACATACATACCGCCTGCACTGTGTGTATTGAATATATATATGCGTTATATACATGCATACGTGCACACACATCCTCGCTCCTATTTGGAGCGAAACAACTCGTATCTCCCTTTTATCATTTTACACGCGACTTTGTTCAAAAAGGGACACGTTCGCGAGCACGATCTCGCGATACTCGACGAAACGAGCAACAACGGTTTGCAAAAATATACATTATTCTTTATCTGCGACAATTCTTCACTGAGAAACAACGACGATACTACGGGAACTAAAATCTCCTTGGCGAATCAATTGTTACAAGTTAACTTTGTCTTGAACGAAGTAACTTCAAATCTTATTTCAAACGTATACTTGGATCAGAGACAATATTCGATTATGAAGAAAGAGATCGACGCGAACGTGCTCCCTTCGTACCTCTAGTGGCTCGTCGTACGATTAATTCAACATACACGGTATACAGTTGGCTAATATACGATTATGATAGACACACAGCGTGTTGTTGTTTTTGTGGGTTACTTTTGTTGCTCGTGAACGCGGGAACAATGATTAGTCGATTGGTAGCCGATGCGCCCTAATCTTTCAGGATCCAGAGACGGGGAGAGAATTACTTCCACGCATAGTGGCGATTTAGGCGACAGTACAATTAGTAGTGTAAAATTCATTGGTCCAGAGAGTTGTGTGTGTATGTGTTATCGAGGGGTCCTTGTCCTTCCCCTCACCGCTCCGGACCCCTTCTTTTAATTCCCTGTCATTTCCGTTTGTTCTAGATGTGGCGGCCCCCCCCCCTCCCCCCTTCCCCCCCGATGATTTCTCACGACAGGCCGCGAAACTAGAATGTTCAGATTACGCCAACACGGTGGATATGTTTATCTTTCGACAACGTCGCTTTTCCCCTCGAAAAAAAAAAAAAAAATGGAACGAGTGAGTCAGATGAATTCGATTTGTCTTTTCTTTTTACATTTTCGTTTCTGATATTCAAACCGCGTTTCGTTACAATTACTCTGACGACCATAGTTCGGGCCTAGCGATGTAAAAATTCGGTGATCGGAGAACAGGTTTCGCGATCGATGGTAACGATTGATTTCATTGGCTGATACGTGATCGTACATCGATGCAACGTGGTAGGAATGAGTCTGTGTTGAACGTAAAAGATCGCTCGACGAGCGCGAAGTGTTCAAGATTGAAAAGAAACGATATACTCTGGAGAAAACGCGAGGATGAGTTGATCGTGCCTCGGTCGAAACGATGCCGATAGTGTAAAAAATGTGTTTAGAATATCGTTTCGCGGATTACGCAGGAAAGATTCGAGTCTTGTACGTATTTCGTGTTTGCAAGTGGAACACGGCGATAGATCTACGTGTGTATTGGTTCGTTCTCTCAATTAAAAGAATCCTAAATGAACCGTGCGCGATATTTACATTAAATAGCGCAACACGAACAATAGAGCACGCGGAATATAACGAATAGAATGTTAAAATTGAAAATATAATTTTATAAAATTTTGAAAGAAATTGTAATTGACGCTCCCATGCAGGCCCTAGAATTATCGGTTACGGTTAATCAAGTAAATCGAAAGTGAGAAGCAAATATTTTAACAAAAAATTAGAAACGGCGAGAACGACTCTTCTCTACATTTCTAAGGAATTTTGTTGTTGGTACGAGTAGCTGTCTATATGTGTACAACAGACTATAATTGAACGACATAACGCGAATCTTCGATTCTTCCAAGTATCTAACGCACCGATTCTCTTGTCTTTTGCGTTCGAACACTTTGACAGATTCCTTTTTTCCGCGTTATGTCATATCGAGACATGTAATCGTGTCTTATTAATTCGTGATTATTAACAACGACGACAACAATATCTAGCTAAACACTGAAGAACATCGAGTTTTTCTTTATGCGTGTTCAATCCCTGCGATCAGTCTGAATCTAATTGACAATGTGTATACCAAAGGTCTTCGCCTCGACGTGTAATTTGTTTCTTTGTCTTCGTCGTTATTTTACGTTCATTGTTTTTTTTTTCATTTTTTTTTTTTTGTGTTAGTACGTTAACGTCCACTAAGTAACTATGAATATACATATACTTTGCGATTACATTAATTTTTTTTCGCGTGAGCTTACTTTGCTTTTAGCAGAGATTCTTACTTCCTCTAACTCCTACTACATTTCGTACACGAACGCTGAAAGCTATACGCTTATATTGATTGTTTCTATGTTTAACGGATAACTAATTCCAACTTGTCCAAGATAGATGAGCGTACTACAATTTTCCTTTTTCACAATCGAGGAGCAATTGATTCTCTGTTAGAAATGGGTCATCGACGATTCGAATCCCTTGACTGTCAGGTTCATCGATACCACTGTAGTATCTGTATTGTGTATTTACAACGAAATACACTTGATCTATACGAACTGTTACCGGTGAACAGAAATTTCTAGTTTTTAATGACTTTAAATGCTCGAAGATTAGATATGTTATCGGAAAGATATGGTTAGACGAAATAACGTAAAACAAAAGTATTGCTTCGATTAACCGATAAGGAAGTCTGACAGCAAAAGGTTACCATCCTTCAACAGTTTGGAGAATCATCTTCGCATAGTTCGATACGTACATTGGAAAGTGTCATCGATCTTGGCTGCTCAAAACCTTTGCAGCGTCTCGCGAAACGCTTGGCAAGACAAATTCATTCGTACAACGGTCTTGCCATTGCAAATCGGAGCGTCGAAGATCGTCAGGTAACGTGCAGCGTTCGAGCTCGCGCATAATATGTCGCAATTGATCGTACAGGAAAATGTATCGTCGTTAGTTACGATTAAAATCTCTTACCGATTTCGTATGACACGCTTAATATACGTCTACAATTTCTTTGTGGAGGCAGTTGCATATATTTTAGATTAGATGACACCTAGTGTGCTGGAAATGTTCCTACGTTTTGGTATGGAATACGCTTCATTCAGAAGAAGAAAAAGAACCGTTCCAGCCAGTTGACGAGAGTACGACGACACTATACATTGTCACGATATTTACAGTTAAAAGAAAACCTCTCTCGATATTTCCATCGACAACGAGTTCGTAGAATTCGTGATACAGCGCTCACAGACGTAAAGAGATCGCATTTCTAAAACTTTGGAAGATAATCGCGGTAAACACAAAAGAGAACATAAACAAAAACAAAAAACCAAACGAAAAAGTGTTTTATCAGACACACATAATTTTTTTTTTTTTATTTCGTTATAATATACATTTATACCGTGATCATCAGCACGAAGGCGAGGATTGCGAATCCATTTCTCAAAAACGGAAAAGAAAATAAAATCGCCACGGTCAAGCACTTCGCTTTTCTATCCCTTTTTTATTCGAATTTGTATTGTCTTGTCTTTTTCAATCGAGATTCCACGACTCAGTTTGTGTTGAACCGTTCTACCGCGAAAGGATAAGCACCGTTACCGAGTGACACGTGTTAGAAGCGACTCGATACGTTTGTTAGAAGTTTCTTTACCACGTTAGTATCACAAGAGTACGCCTAAACGCCTAATTTAAAGCCAGAGACAACGCTACGATCGATACGCGCCGCATTCGGTGTATGAACGTACTCGAAACTAATCTAAACAAGCCGGTAGTAAGCTACGTTTAAATACATTTTGTGCTTTCCTTCACTCTTTTTCTTTTTCTGTTTGAAACCGTGCTCCATGGAATTTTGCTACTATCCGACAATGTTTCTTTTTCGTATTTTTATTTTTTGTGAGTGCGTTTCGTAACCAGTGCACCGGATACACTTGTCTCGTTAAAATCTACGATTCTCTCGGTCGATTTCACAGTCTTAGTAATTCTTCAAACCGTCGCCCGTATTATTGCGCTGCTTTTTTTTTTTCAAACGTTACCCCAGTTAATATCGATTTCGTGAACGCACAAATTTTTGATTAACGTCACAAATTTAAAAAAAAAAGCAGCTCTAGAAATACCGAAGATCGAAAATCGTAGAAACGACACAAGTTAGAAACTGTTCCTAGTAAAATGGAAGGAATGTCAACGGTATATTTGCTACGGTATAAAAGGGCGTTCATCTTTCGTTTTTTTTTTCTTCTCGACGTAACATCTCGTTGTGGAGCCATTAGAAAATCGTTCTCAAGGGAAAAATCAATTTATAAAATCGATTATCAAAACTTCTTTTCCTAGGTAGCGATCGTTCTACTAAACAAGTGTACAATCCCTCGACGCTAGGCTACTCCCTTTACGTTCAACAACGGAAATTTGTGTTTACAAAGCGGTAGAAACGGTGGGTGACACAATCAATTGATCCTAATACAATATAGAGACTATAAGCTCGTGAACAGTCTCGTGGTCGTGTGTGAATTAGTCGTTTTATCGCGGTAGTCAGAACCGAGTGAAATGTATCATTGCACGATATAGAAAACAGAAAGGAATTGCTTTTTCTCTTTACGCGAGAAATGATTTCTTCCTTATTTATCCGTCCATCAATTAATTAATACTGAAACAAAATATAAGAATACATCGAGCACAAATCCCATAGAGGGTTCATTCATCTACAAAAAAAGAGAAGTGGCTGTGCTTTCACTCGGCTCTGATTACACATAAAACTTCTACAGCTGGGATTGTACCGTGTTCTAGCGTAGGGAGAGAAAGAGAGCGAAGCGAGGCACAGGCGTGTGTGTTCGTTGTGGTCACTCGAGACTCGAGAAGCACGTTTGTTACCGTTTATCAAAGAATATCAGCCATCGCTGACAGTTTAATCGCAAATTCTTACACGGTCTGCTCTTTGTTCACGTAACAGCGTAAAAGATCAGTACGAACTCTATTTTTTGTCTAAAGCTTACTTGTTCTCAGATCTTGGATCGTTTACATCAGGCTCTGCGATCACGCTTCCAGAGTATCATTCAGTGTTTTGCTTGTATCTGTATAATTGTGTACACGGTGTATATGTAGCCGGCGTGTGTCCTTTTAGGATATACGTGAGACGAGCTACACAGGTGGTATTTTAGCAACGTTTTATGTTTTTTTCTTCGAAATATGCTGCTCCTGTAAAGTTAACTGTACCGTTAACACGATTGGTAATACATATATTTACATTGACTATCTACAATTATCTACACATCAACAAACGGTTAGCTTAAACATTTCTCATGGTGTCGTGTTTTATTTTTCTATCATCTTCGTAGTTATCATCATCATCCCGATTCTGAACATAATTTCCTAATTACCGCATACTTATCACATCTCTCTTTCATCGTCGTTCTATCAAGCTCGTCCGATCCATTCACGCTTACACATTCTCTCAGTTTTGTTTGCGATCACACCGATCGTCGACGATCGTGATTCACGCGACTAGTTCGAAACGACGACCTTCGGGCCCAACGAATACACTTTATACACGATCGTCGTCGTCGATCCTTTTAATAATCTTGAAACGACACGCAATCTTTAAATCAAATTTCTAAACGACTCATTCAACGGAAACGCGTTTATATGCGTGTGTGTGTGTGTATATATATATATAAAAAAATAAAATAAATACGCCAACTTAAAATAGAAAAACAAATAGGACAGCTAAACGATAATCGATAATTATATAATAGTCCGTGGGTCAAGGTTCTGGCTTGACGTTGCAACATCACATCGTCGCCATTGTTTTCTTCATCTTCAAGCGTTCCCCTTCCTTTTCGGGGATTCGTTTATCGAACAGAATCACAACTCTTCCATTCGTCTCTATACACTGACAGTTCCCTGTTCCTCGGTCCGTTAGAATGTATCAGTAGTGGATCGAGTCAGCCGGTAGGTAGGTAAACTCGTTAATCGAATTAATCTCCTCTGGTAATGTCTCTTAGAAATTGTAGTCTTCCTGTGATCTCTCCTGGGTACGATAAACCTTCACGGGACTATCGAGTTCAGGTCAAATTAGGCTGCGGCGAGGGAGTAGTCCTGGACAACGTGTACGAGGAGGCCGTATCCTATATAAACGCCCAACATTCCAGTGTTTTCACTACGAAATCCTCGCGCGGTGCCAGCGGCTCGTTTCCGTACGTGCTGCAAGATTGCGTTCTGCCTTGGTACAGATCACCGTCCAACCATAGTCCAAATTTGCCACTGGAAAAAAGACACGTATTCCATTAACGACAACGCGGGTACACGAGCTGTTTGTACAAGAACGATACTCACTCTCCAGCGCCTATGGCAAGACTCTCATTGTTGCCTTTGATGAAGTACAAGTTATCGCCGGTCCAGTTGAAGGCTTGGAACCTGGGCGTAAACCTGAAGAGGAGGGACTCTCCGGTTCCGTAAAAGTGGTCGCTAACGTGCAAAGCGCAGGATGTCAATGCTCCGAACACCTGTAACCACAGAAAATAAACCAATTGACTAACAACGTACGATTAATTAATCGACTGACGTTTGTGCTTGAAGCGTTCGTCTACAACGAACAAAGCATGATTCTATCGCATGACCGTGCGTTTCTCTCATCTACCAGATCAAATAGACGACAATATCTCCGAGTTTCGAACGGTGAATTCTCTTTCGCGTGTAACTACAAATGTTCAAATGCAGAATTCGTGGTAATTTTCAAAGCGCCGCGTCACACACTCCACGCTATTATATCGGTAGCCATTGTCGCTAGAGAAACAGTGACGATTCCTGCACGTTTTATCGCGTCGAGGGTGCACGAACTCGAAATTCGAAAACAAAGAACATCCTTCACCTCGACGCTCTCGCAAAAGTGGAATCAACGGTACATTCAACGGATAGAAAGGATGATGGGTTGGGTGTAGCCAATTCTGAAGACGAATAGCTTCGATAATGGAAGAACCGAATCGATGCAATAACGATCCTACTCTATTCGGTCGCAACCAACGTGTTCGCTGTCGAGTCTCCTAAGTCAAAGTTATACCGATCAAAGTATGGGTCGAGGACACTCGTAGCTGTCCTAATTCGGATACGAATCAAGGACTCCCGAGTAAGAACTGTCTAGAGTGTCTAGACGACGCTCATGTAGGTCAGGGAACGGTAAACTTGTTAACGTGTCCGTTGATCCTATTACTCCCAGGTGAATCTATAGGCTTTCCAAATCGGTTCCAATTGATATATGGATCAGGGACTGTCCTGGTCAATGCGTAGTCTCTAGAGTAAACGAGACGATATGATACTCACGTTGCCTTCGGTGTCCTCGATGACCAGGAGAATAGGACTCTCTATTTTGGCCATCTTCCTGTACATGCTGTTGAGACTGAATCCGTGCTGACTGGTGCTGAAGACCAGGGTCCATAGGTAGCCCTCCGCCCTAGCGGGTAAGTGCCGGCACAGCTGTTCTCTGTGCTCGTCGCTGAGGATTTCTGTAGTGCCAACCAAGTCTGGCACGATCACGTCGTTGTCCAAGGAGACGGCACTGTTGGCGTACAAAGCTCGCCTGAGCTCCTCGCTCATAGACAGTACCTGCGAACGAACGAACAAATTATCAAGGCGGTCCAAACGGAGCAGTGCTAGGGAACATATTCCGGATAGAGTCTACTCGAGATCGATCACCGAGTTCATCAATCTCTCGAACCACTAATAACAACGAAACCTTTGCGATCAATAAAATCGATTTAACGTTAAACATTGTTTTATCAGCAGGAAGTCCCATTGCACTAGGATTCTTCCAAAGTATCTTTCGATGAGATACTCGGTGATCTTATTCAATCGTGTATGTTACGTTCTATATACCAAAGACAGTACTGGTTGCAACTATAGGGATTTCATTGGTTTCTAAACCTAAATCTAAATCTAACACAGCCAACACAGACTACTGTATGCATTCAAGTGTCGTGTTGTAATTGTTGACATTGTTTCGCAATTGTTCGAAAGCTTCGTGTACCACGAATAATATATATATATAAACAGAGAAGAATGCGTACCCCGTGCATCAATGTTTCCGATTAATTATTTAGGTTGTTTATCGGGTCAGTTCGAGTTTCATCGTTTCTAACGGAAACTCGATACAACCGTGCCTAGCGTATCGATAATCCGCGGTTCCAATTTTAGAACAATACGAGAGGTTCTGTCACAGTTCGTCGGAGAAAGTTTGCCGTAGTTAGTGGAAAGTTTACGCGAGTTGGCGGAAAGTTTTCGACGAACCCTGTTCTCTACTCGGATTAAGCGATAGGTTGCGCTCACGCGAGGCGTTGTTATGCATTGATGCAAATGCGCACGCGGTGAATCACATTCGCGCACCTGCCCTGAACGACATAACAATTCCACGCTGTCTCCCGCGGGATTACGAGCTACGAATCATCCTGTTGCTTCGTTACGGCTTTGCATCTCATCCATTAATATTACGAAAACTACGTAACTCATTAGCGAATGCCGGAGTATTCCACACGCGCGAACTTTTCGAAGCAGTGGGATTTTCCTACAACAACCCTGTGGAATCCTCGCACTTTAATGGAAGCTAATGACGTATGGCTTTCGGAGTCTGGACGGTTTGGAATTTAAAAAAGCTTCACGTGGTTCTGAATCGAAAGGTTATAATGCAACTTCCACGTATCGAGAAATAAATTCCGTAGAAGGATGAACGAAATCCTAGATGCAATTCAAGGATCACGCGTTTATTAATATCTCCGTTGCTGAACGGTCGCGGAGAATGAATCGATTAAATGTACCGTATCCTTCGGCAGTAGTATAACGACATCGTTAAGAGGTTTTGCGTTACCGGTATGGTTAATTATTCATTTGCGCGCGGTGATCTCATTTGCTTTTATCGTACGAACAAACACCGTCGTGTAAAATTATTAACAGCAGAAATGACGCAACCGCGTAAGCCATGTGCCAATACAATAAAACGGGAGGAGATGGTACGCTGAATAATTGTTAAGTAGTCCGCAATAACAGCATTGATAATGAAAGATAAGATTGATATCCTTTTGCTGGATAGCCTGATTCGTTTGTGAAAATTTATGTCGATAATTGGAGAGAAATTCGATAATTGATTGGAAGCGGAAAAAAGTAAACAAGGCTCGGTTCGAACGAGTACGAGTGTTTATTTTTCTCGTACGCGGTCGGTAAAGCATTAATTTCAATGCGGACAATCGCGGTTCATCGAGGGGTCACGGTTGATTATACTCGCGAGATCCCCCTTTCACCAGGAAAGATAACCGCGCTCTTTTCGGTCCATATTTACAAACAAAACGTGTTTATTCTGGTTTTCCGCGGGTATTCGTCAATTGAAGCGAGGCCGTGCCAATTAAAATCGCAACGATTTTACTCGATTAGAAGATCGAGGTGTCAGCGGCGTCTCCAAGGACGAATCGAGTAAACGAACATAAACAAAACCACGTGACCGCGCGGTAGATCCATTTCGACGAAAACACGTTCCTCGAGCCGCGACGATAACACCCCAACAGTCTAATAAAGGGGGAATTTTATCCAATTTTTGTGAAATAAATCTGCAATCTACATACGTGTTTACCTTGTATCGAGAAAAAAAGTACGACCGAGGGGAACGAACTCGCGCTCTCCCGATGTGTTTTTGCAACAATTCGACCGAACAACAACTATCGAACGCACGTGTCCTCGATCGTTCACGCATCGTCTCTTATCGCGAGAGCTTCCTTGACCCGTGACCCTCGCCACGCTCTATCTCGACATTTACCAAGAAAAACTTGGCCGCGACATGATCGCACAGTTTTTGACATCGGTCCGTCGATGGTACATCGGAGGAGGATTCGTTTCAGAATGCGATCTTCTCGCGAAGTGCGAGCAAATTGTTTTTCATCCACCGATCGCCGTGTACACGCTATTTTAATTTGAAATTCAGATTTCCCGGCTGATCCTCTCAGCGTTTATCGTGGCTCGCGTGAACCTATCAATAACAAAACAAGATTTCTCTGCGTTCAGCGCATTCGCTCGACCGAACATACGATATTCGAGGTCGTGGTGGCAATCGAGACGCACGCTGGAAAAATATACTTAAAGTCACGTGTTTACGCGATCGCAAACCCGATCAGACCGATGTTATACGTGTCAAGTGTGCAAAGCAGTTACTTGAGTAGTTACGATTGAACGCGTTAAGACCTTATTTTAGGAATTTTGTTGCCTCACCGACAGCATTCTGGACGAGTGCTGGAAGACGTAATTAAGAGTTGGACAGGAATTGGCGATCATGGTGGCTTCGATAGCGTTCTCCGCGTTTGAACTCGTCGAACTTCCACCCGTCTACACAGAATTCCTCCCACTGACGCGACCCGTGAACCGTTTGTAATTACTCGAAAGCGACGATCTTCGTCGTTCCCTGAGTCGATACACCGCGGTTGATTCTTTTAGCGAGTCCGACTGACTCGGTGAATCGCTCAGCACTGAGAGTCGAAGGAGACACTCGAACCGATCTCTACGAAACGACCATCGACAAGTTCGTAAAAAACCTTTCGTCCAGTTTCCAGCCTCCCCTCCCTCCCTCTCTCTCTCTCTCTCTCTACAGCTTAATGTCAAGTACAAGCGAATTCCACTGGGTGTACCTCGAGGGACTCGAGCACCGCGACCTCGCATGATTATTCCCCACCGACCTTCGATACGACTTCGTCGACAATGATGAGACGGTAATAAGTCGCGGGAAGCTGCTTTCGAAGGCTCGTTTCTGGTTCTTAATCGGCTCTTGTGCTCGTAAACTCTCGTCCTTAATTTACAATTCCGCGGAAACCACTACAGAGACAATAATTGCGTTCAGGCGGCTCGATTGACCATCGAAACCGAAACAAGAAACGCGGAACGGATTCGATTTTGGAATCGTTTCGGCAAAAAAACTCGTTCCGTCCGAAGCGTTTTCCACCCACTAACGCCGATATACCGTATTTCCTCTGCCATTTAAGAAAGAATTATCAACTCGCATCGTTTAAAGAAGGACTGTGTTCACAGCGTCGACGATTGATGATTATAAACACGGATGTCCAACGCGAGAGCATTCTCGCGGAAAAATGTTTTTCTTTTATTACTAACGGCTTGCATTTCCGAATACGTCCTCGTAAACTTGCGTGTAACAACTATTACCGGCGATTTAATGGCGCGATTATGCTCGCCGTTGATTCCGCGACAATCTACGACGCTCGGACTCGAGTATGACTGCGTTCGATTACAATACGAATATCGACCGTACCAGTCGAGGGAAGTCTCTGGCGATCGGAGATAAAAAATGAATGTCGAAGAATCGGGAGAACATATGTTTCTTTAATCAACGTAATCGGTTGCGTTAGAGGCGAGTGCATTAGAGACGAGTTCGAGCGAGGAAAACACTCGAAGAAAATTAGAAGTAATTTTGCTGATTTATATTTTTAATAAACGTTGAGATTATTGAATCCTTCGAGTATCGCATAAATATTCATCGACCGAGTAAATTACACGTACACGTTTTCGACCATGTACTGGCCGTATTTCTTACGACTTGTATGCAATTATAGATGAATTATGGATATTTTTTTATATTCGAAGATGAGTGCACGGTCGAAAATGTTTATGTAATGTATGGAAAATTTACTCGTTAGTCGATGAATTAATACACACTGATTGTGAGAGGCAATTTCAACGTTTGCCGAAAGAACAATTCACGAGAATCGGGAACAAGAGACCGATATAATAATGAACGAACAACTCTATCCTATCCGTATAGAATGCTCGAAGTTTAAAGCAGCCTTCGACTATGGCTCGCCTTTGCGCAATTAGACAGACCGAATGTTGCGACACGTTCGCTTTCTCCTAATATGCTTAATAAAGACGTTCTGTAAATACTATCGAGTGAACATTATTTTTTCAACGCATCGCACTCGACGAAGAGTTATTAAGCGAGCCATTACTTATCAGCTACCGCAAAGGAAAAACGATAACAGATCAGCGACGCGCGCGCGCGATAGTTGCCAGCACGTTAATTAGAATGTTAATTAAAGCAAACAGAGAATCATCGATTCGCCTTGATCGGGAACGGATAAGTGAACGCGCGTCGTTGCGCGATTACGGTTCAATTACAAAATAGCAGAGACCTACTGACCGGTTCGTCTCTTCGAATTATAGTGCAACGAGTCTGTGGAATTTCGTAGGTGGTTCGTAAGCGCCGAATCACGCAATTTACGATGCGTGTCGGTTCATTTCGTACCTCGTCTCAGATATCATCCTAATCCGTACGACCTTTCGTCGCGAGACCCATAATCGTATCAATTTTTCAATTACGCGAATTCGTAAAATTAATTAATTACATAGCGGGTTGTTTCGCGTGATATCTGTATCTACAATTCGTCGATGTCCAAACTTCCAATTTTTTCGTGTTTTTTTCCAATTTTCTTTCTTAACATCGATTTATCCGTCGACTCGCGAGTCATTTGTTTACAGAAAGTCTGTTGTTCGGGACTCGCATTGCTAACCTTAAAAGGAACTAAAACCGACTCCAAGAGCGCTCAAGATTCAAGGAGATCAGG